TAATCCTTGCATTTGATATAGCACTTTTCATGCCTTCTAGACATCTCAAAGCGCTTCACAGAATATACTGTAAAGTGAATTGACTGTATATTTGTGGGCAAAACCCTGCAGCCAATTACGCACAGCAATGTCCCACAAACAGTCGTGAATTGAAGTGACCAATTTTATTATTATTGGGTTTTTTCTTGAAGGATTATTATCAGGCATGGAGTAAGGAAATTTGCCCAAGGATTCGCCCTGCCAGGAATCAAATCCAGGTCTCTTGCTTGCGAGGCGAGAGCTCTAACCATTGAGTCAATATGCTATCGATATCCTGGCCATATTTATTTAGGTATTTATTGAAACTCCTCAAAGTAGTCACAGAGCTATTTTCCCTTGGAGTGACAAGGTATCACTGTGTATGAATTATGAATAAGTTTTAGTCAATTTTAAAATTCTGTTTTAAATGATCAGAGTCAATGCTCTCTAGAACTCAGTCCCAGAGTCTTTCTGACCTATCCCCTCACTTTCAAAGCCGGTCTGAGGGCTTACCGTTTTCAGTCATCTTTCTCCCCCTATGCTCTTTAGCTGTCACTGCTCCGGTTGTGTGAAAATGTTTTTTGTGATGTCCTTCTGACTTGAAAAGCACTATGTAAACTTTAATTGTATTGTAAATTGTATTTTGTATAAGGTGCTCAAAACAATCAAGTGTAGCGTTATGTTGACGAGGAACCCACCTAAAACTCAAAGATAAAGATATTAAACTATGCATTGATTAGATTTAGCTGCAAAATAAATAATTTAAGTGATTTGAGATAGCATGTTGTGATACAGCTGTTTTCTGGATGCAGGCTATGGAAGTATTTCTAACAACATTGTAAGGGATTCAGTGTAACACTGTCAGATCACTGTCAGGTCCCAGAGGACAATATGGCAGCCAAAAAAAAAACAATTAGAAAGGTAGGGAAGCAAACAGAGAGGGAGGTAGATTAAGTTACGTGGAGAAAATTTGAGCTTGTTCAACCTGAGGGACAAAGCCTTTGAACTGCATCTTCCATCACTTTGTATTGAACCTGGACCAGAGCCAGCAGAAAGGGAGCCCTCATTGGTTGCTAAGCGAAATAACATCACAATAGCTCAAACTCCATATGCGTCTTATGTTACTTATTTTTTGCTCTCAACGAATTCCCATTACTTCCAGTTCATTGCTTCCTGTGTACNTTTTTTGATTCCAGTTTGCTTGTTGCCCATTTCATCACGTGAACTTCCATTGGTCTTGGTGGGGGTACAAGTCAAATGCTTTACTATATAGGGAGTGAGTGGTCTTCTGGAGATGTGTCCATTTGATCACTGGCAGTTTAATAGGGAAGGGAAGCTACTTTATTGGGATGATATGGACAACAACTTGCATTCGTATAGTGCTCTCACATAGGGTAGAGTCCCAGAGTGCTCAGTGGACTGAGTTAGCAGTAATCTAAACTAGAGAGGCTACTGTAAGATGAGAGGGTTGGTATTCTGATGTAATGAACTGAATGACCTTTTTCCTCCGAACATCTCTTGCGATTAAAAGTATTGTCCAAGTAAGGCTTTGGGTGTCTCAGGTATTTTCTTGCATTGCCACCCTCTCACACATATTCACTCCTCTTTCAAAGGCAATGACTCAAGCCAGAGCAAAGCTCAGCAGCTGCCAACTACCCTACGGCATCTCTCAGCTTGTCTTGTGCTGGTGATGAATTTGTCTGATCCCTGCTAACTAAAAGTAATTTGAGCAAAACTGTTGTTTAGTTTTATGAATACATCATTGTGTTTATAGTTGTTCCACGTCGGCAACCAAACAAGTCTGTCCTTCAGCTTGGATAAACAAAGTACGCAAAACATTTAAACAGGCAGGTGGTTCATTCTCACATTATCTTTCCTGGTGACCTGTTCTCGGCATAAATTACCCATCTGTGTAAAGAAATTCACCCCTAAATTCATTTTTAATTTAAAATAATAATCCTTGCATTTGATATAGTGTCTTATCACATCCTTATACCATTCAGGGCATTTTCTATGACCTGAATGGCACTTCCTATGACCATTCTCCATGGATGTAGTTAAAAACGGAAGGATCGAAATTCCGGTAGACAAACAAGGCCACGAATACCAACCACCCAAGGGGGGTGCTTCTCCACAAGACTGGAGCACAGAGCGATTCCTCGCCCCCACCCCCCATGGGAGACAGCAGCACTTTAACAGCCCGTTGTTATGTGCTTCTATTCAGCTCCATTATGGCTCCAAATTCTGGGTTTTGAATCACCAAATGCCTACATTCCCAATCAATCTCCAGCACAATATCTCTGAATAATGGGCAAAAAATAATATTACACACACTTTCATAGGGGTAAATAAAACATGATTGTACAATCCTGGTGATCCTTGTATTTTCTAATGGGGGCGGGGGCAAGGAGAGTGTTTACAGTTACAGTTAGTGATTAGGGAGAACTATGATTTTTATTTACCTAACTCAAAATGCTGAAGTCAAATGTTGTCAGTTGTAGAGTCCCCTGGTGAGATTAGCTAACTTTGCACTAAGGACAGGGATTTGAATCTACAACCTCTGGAGTCTATATGTCTCAATCATCGAGGAGTCTAGAATATGTCTCTCAAATAAACATTTGAAGACTTTCCAGGGATGTTCTCTGTTCTACCATAGTCTCCATTATAGATTTACAAGTGAAGAAAATGATCAGGAAGAAGAGTTTGAGAAGTGCACTACAGAAATGATCACTGCTCCACACTGAGGTCTGAACTTTCCTCTCCATCATCCATTGTGAGTCTGACCTTTCATACTGTCAGCAGCATCCCTCCTAAAGAACAGGACCAACAACCAGAGAGGGGTAAAGATAAAGATCCTATGGCACAATTCAATAAGAGAAGAGTTTCTAACAGCGTCAACAATCCTACAGAAAATAAGTCAGTAACTCTGTGGCTGTTTGTGGTAAATTGCTGTGCACAAACGTACTACCACGTTCGTCTACAAATACACAACAAATCCGTTGAGATGTCGATGACATAACAAGGTGCTATATCAAATGCAAGGGTTATAGGATACAGAAGAATGTGTGTTGTGTGTGTGTGTGTGTGTGTGAGAGAGAGAAAGACAACAATACAGTTACAATTTTCCTAAGCATGATTTTTTTATTGCACCTAGTAATAAGCTCAGATGATAACAAACTTTATAATCTTTTAGTATTGCTGGAACCCCCTGCATTGAAAACGCTTATCTTAAGCTTACTTTGGGACCAATAATCTTTCCAGCCTCTTATATATGTCCAGCACATTGTTAAAGGAGTTAATCAATCACCTAACTCATGTTGCTGGAAACCTGTGTTCTACCAATCCGTTATTTTACAAGAAATAAAATGAGTCATCTTCAGCTTGATGCTAGCACATCAAGATGTTTATTGTGGATAGAAGTTAAGTTTCAAATGTATTGGTCTTTTCCCGAAGCATCTGACCTGTACAATAACGTAGCTTTGACCTGTACAATAACAGATACAATCTGTACAATCTGTGGAGTCCTGTAGCTCAGTGGTTAGAGCACTCGCTTTGCAAGTGAGAGACCTGAGTTCAATTCCAGGCAGAGGGCGAACCCTTGGGCAAGTTTCCTTACTCCACACATCTAATAATAATCCCTCCAAAAACCAAAAACAATAATAAATTGGTCACTTTCAATCTACGACTGTTTGTGGGACATTGCTGTGCGCAATTGGCTGCCGCGTTCGCCCACAAATATACAGTCAATTCACTTTACAGTGTCTTCTGTGAAGTGCTTCAGGACGTCCTCCCGACGTGAAAAGCGCTATATCAAATGCAAGAATTATTATTATTATTATTATTATAGATACGGCAATATAGCATCCCGTTCACTTTTCTTACCAATATTTGGAAATGGTGAGTGATAATTAAACTATACCATTCTTTCAAGTTCCTGCTAGATACGTTTTAACCCATTCATGGAAAATACAGTTCTTCAACATTCACTTGCAACATGCAATTTATTATTATTATTATTATTAATTTCTTGCCTTTCTCCATGTTGACCTTAATTTGCTCAGTACTGGTGCATTTCAATGTGTAAAACCATAAGATGTCAACAGGCTAATTGCCTAAGGGTAAGACATCATAGCCAAGCCAATTCTGTCCTAACCTAATATCCCCATATTTTCCAGCAGTTGATCAGAAACCCCCAATATTTACCCCTTCAAAGATAGTGTGGCAAATTGTGATGCTTCTATTACCAACTTGATTGAGATGTACTAATTCAACACAGACCAGGAATCAAATATGGTTTATATTGATCAGTGCCATATTAAGTGGTATGTTTCATTAAGTGAGTTATAAGGAGATCTTATGCTTTTTGTGGAGTGCTATAGCTCAGTGGTTAGAGCACTCGACTCACAAGTGAGAGGACCTAGGTTCGTTTCTCAGGCAGGGCGAAACATTGGGCAAGTTTCCTTACTCCACATCGTCTGTTTATCTAGTAGAAAGTAGGAACCTGGTTGTTATTCGATTGGCAGATCGCATTTCTGGGGGTAATAATCCCTTNAAAAAAAATAATTTGATCATTTAATCCATGATTGTCTGTAGGACACTGCTGTGCACAATTAGCTGCTGCGTTTTGCCCCAAAACATAGTCAATTCACTTTACAGTAAATTCTGTGAAGTGCTTTAAGACGTCTAGTAGACGTGGTAAGACACTATACCAAATACAAGTATTATTATTATTTTTATCATAGTGGATAGTCACTCAGAAGTATCCAGGAAGACATACCACAGCTACTGTCTTAAATTTGCTCCATTTGTAAGACGGGACGGACAAGAAATACAACACCTAAATCAGAATTAACAGCAAGAAATATTAATTTCAAATCTTTTGTTGATTTGACCACTCAAAACATTGTGAGCTATGAAGTAGTATTTGATCACATACAATTTAAAATTTGATCACTATAGTCACACTTTGGGACAAACAGTTCTTAGAAACACCTCTTGTTGACCACAGATGGCCCAAAGTCGTTGTAATCGTTCACTGTGATCCACATGTGCTTGAAGGATGCCAAGCTGGTTAAGATGGAGGCCCCCATCCAAACGGAGTAGTTTCTTTCTGGTGGGGCAATGACTTTGACTTGTATGCCGCTGGGAGTCTGCAACTTGATCTCCTTAAGCAACCGTTCCTCCATTCCCGGGAAGAGCGTGGAGCCGCCAGACAGCAACATGTTGCTGTACAATTCCTTGTGTAGTCGTTGTTCACATTTTGTGATACTGCTCAGCATCAATCGGTGCACTCCAAGTTCTTTGGAACTCATAGTCTCTGGAGTAAAGAGCATTTCAGGAGCTGCGTAGAGCTCGTTTTCAATCGTAATGTGAGTTCCATCTGGCAATCTGTACTCCCTTTGGATCTCTTCAACTGGTTTCTTGCTCTCCAACTTGGGATCCAGGGAGATGTAGCACAGTTTCTCTTTAATGTCCTGCATGATCTCGGTTTCTATTTTCTCAGCAAAGATATGCCCATTCTCCAACATGAGCCTCCAAATATTTTCAGTGATGTCCCCACCTGCCACGTTAAGTCTTTTGACAGCGTCAGGTAGATAGTATCCCTCATAGATGGGCACAGCATCAGTCACTCCATACCCACTATCCAAGACGATTCCCCGAGTGCGCCCTGATGTATAAAGTGCCAAAGTTGCGGGAATGGCTATATACATGGCTGGTACAGAAAAGCCTTCAAACATGATCTCAGCCATTCTTTCCCTGTTAAAAAAGGGAGTTAATGGAGCAGCAGTCAGCAAAACTGGCCTTTCTTTGGATTTCACATGCAGTTCGAAGCCATATATGTATCTCCAGATCATCTCCATCTCTTCCCAACAAATCACAATGCCACGCTCAATTGGGTACTTCAAAGACAGAACTTCTCTTCTGGCTTGGGCAGCTTTACCAACATAATAGTCTTTTAGGTTGGTGCTCCGTGACCCCTTTGTGACTTTAGAGCAGCCAACAACAGATGGTATGACTGATGTAGGGATGCTATCACCAACTATTCCAGATTTGCAGAGCCCAGATCCATTGTCAATAATCACTGCAGGAGTGGCCATCATTTTGATCATATTCCAAAATAAACCACACAATGACGTGTAACTAGTTGAGAGAAGTGACACGTTTTGAAACGTTACAAAGGTGGTGGGGGGGGGGGGGGATCTGAATGAATGTTTTGCTCCTTCTGCACTGGTAAGTCCAGTCACTAAAGCCATAACTGTGGGGGGGTGAGGGTTATCCGGCTCTGATTGTTACACTTACGATGATATCATAATGAGCTGCCACATGAGCAAGGAAATGAGCCACTTGCAATATTAACTCCCACCTCTGCCAGGACTGGCCTATGATTACTATGGCTGAATACGAGTAAAAACAAATCTACCATCTGAAATATCATCCTTATCAAAATGCTTTCGTTTTACAAAAATTAAAGGAACAGTACTTAAATTTACAATTTATTTTTCCTAAAAGACGCTATCAGTAAGATCAAAAACTGGTAACAAGAGTGATATAGATTTTAAAAAGGGGTTTTATCAATCAGTTTTAGAGACAACAATATTGCATTGAACCATATAAGCCTCATAATTGGAGGAAAACTGATGCTAGGCATGTGATTACAATGTTTTGTAACTCAATGTTTTCTGACGAGCTTTCCAACCAATGACAATATACACATTTCTAATCCAACTTGTCAATGTTTGGCATGAAACCAGTTCAACACATCACCCCCTCATCCTGCAACCCATCTCAGCTGCAAACCTTGGACTGCTCCAATGCCTGGGATGTCCTCCCAATGTGCTCTATCAATGTAAATTTGTATTGTATTGTATCATGTCACGATCTGACCTAAATTAGTTTTGTTGGAATGTGACTATTCCAAGCTTGTTCAACGACTGACATTAGATGATTTTTACTGGGTATTTGACCTTTGTTTACGATTGCCACTGACTGACATTTTATCTTCTGTAATAAGCTTAGAATTTTCACTGATGGGCATTTGCTTTTGTAATAGATTAGGACTGTCACCTACTGGGGTCAATTCTTGAATGAGGCTAGTATTGAGACTGGTTCTTAGTGGTTGGTCATCAGGTATTTCAGAATCAGACATGATTGGTGTTAGACCTCTCAATAGACTGGGACTGACACTAACTGATGATAGACTTCCATCACGATTTTTGCTGGAAAACATTGAATAATTGTTGCTGTCTGATGAAGATAGATCTTCAAATAGACTGGGACTAGCACTGATTGCTCTTATACCTCCTAGTAAACTATCAGAACTAGCTGAATATTTACTCTCTGTTTCATCAAAACTATACCTGAATTTTGGAGATTCTGATGAACTGCAATTTTTACTAAGCAGCATTAAACGTCCAATTAGACCAGGATTGTCTCTGATTGATATTTGATGTCCTTCTAGAGTGAAATTGGGACTGGATGATGATTTCTGTTTTTTTAGAATGGATTTGGTGCTGCAACTTGCTGACTGTAAAGTGTTACAGCTATTATCACGTTCCAATACATGGGGACTGCTAACCAGTGTTTGCAATGTATTTTCTGATGAACTGGAACTGTACAATTCATTTTGGGTTGAACGCAGATTGACCTGTGATACATGTTGCAGTGGGGAGGAATGTTTGCTTTTGAACATTACTTCATCTTGTACATTGAGGCTTTTGCTGACTGACATTTGTTTTTTCGTTGGAGGGTGATTTAAACTCTTCAACATTCTTGTTGAACTGCGATTTACAGTTGCTAACTGTGGACCTTGTGATTGAGTGTGAGCACCACTTGTCATCACTGCAGGTTTGTTTTGAATGGAAATCTGACTTCCTACTGGATTGGGATTGACACTTTTACTTTTTGCTACGTTACAATCAATGTTTTGAAGCATATCTTCTGAAAAACTAGCACTGTCCATAATCAAAGTTGGACTTTCTTGTTCGCAGGGATTATAGTTTGATGTGCTTTTAGGTGATATTGGAACAGGATTCTCTCTGACTGTCATTTGACCTTTTATTCGATGAAATTTTTTGCTGATCCACTTTTGATATGTATTTTCCACCATGTTTTTTTCATCATCAACTAGATGTTCTGTTAACTTAAGCTTGTCACTGATTGACGTCCGATCTGGTTTTATTTTCGAATTATGACTAACTAACAATTGATGTTTTCGTTCTGTTATGTTGTGATTGTCAGTAATTGACGACTCTCTTGTTGATGTGGTGTAGTTATGACTGGCAGACAATCGGCTTTCTGATACATTGGGATTCTCACTGACCGATGTTCGATGTTTTGCACTCGGATTACCACTGGCTGACAATCGATGCTCTGTCACATTGACATGGTCACTGACTAAAGTTTGTTTTTTTGCTCCACTGTACTTACCACTGACTGACAATCGATGTGTCACGTTGGGATTCTCACTGATTGACAGACGATGTTTCACATTTGGGTCATCACTGAGTGACAAACGATATTGTGTTGCATTGGAATTCTCACTGAATGATATCTTTTTTTTTGCTCCAGTATATTTATTACTAACTGGTGATCGATGTTCTGTTTTATTGGGATTATTGTCGACTGAAGTCTGGTTTTGTTTTAGACTGGAATTATCATCAATTGACAATGGATGTTCCGTTAGATTGGGATTATCACTGAATGATGTCTTTTTTTTGTTTCCTATATATTTACCACAAACTAAAGATCGATGTTCTGTCTCATTGGGATTATCACTGACTGAAGTTTGGTGTTGTTTTAGATTAGAATTGTCATCGATTAGCAATCGATGTTCTGTTACATTGGAATTCTCCCTAAATGATGTCTTTATTTTGGTTTGGGTGTATTTACCACGAGCTGACAATCGATGCTCTATTTCAATGAGTTTGTCACTGACTGACGTTTGATCTTGTGTTACTTTGGGACCGTCATGAACAGCCGTTTCTTCTTTTAAACTGGGATTATTACTGATCGTCAATCGGTGTTCTGTTGCATTGGGATTTAAAGTGATTGATGTTTTACTCTTCGTTTGGGTAGATTTATCATTACCCAACAATTGAAATCCTTTTTTACAGGGATTCGCTGTGTAGTGGCCTTTTACGGTAGATTTATCATTGATCGACATTGGATGTACTGTTACTCTAATACTGGATCTTCTGTTCTGATCAGGTTATTAGTTGGGAGTTCTCCTGACATGAAAGGCACTATACAAATGTAATTTGTTGTAGGTTATTATTGAGATAGAATCAAGGTTCTGGTATGTTGGAGCTGTGACTGACTGACTCCAATGTTCTGGAATTGTCCCTTTCAATATTGCACCTCTGTTAGACAATGATTGTGACTGATTAATGTTTGATCTGCTACTTTGCTGGGATTGTCACTAACCAACAGTGGACACTGTTAGATTAGATTGTTATTAACTTACATAACATAGCATTACAGACTTCCAATATTCACTGACCAAATTAGGATTTCTTGTTTTGACTGAGAATTAACCAACATCCACTCTTAGAAATGTCACTGACCAATAGCACTGTTGGATACAGATCCTCCGGTTAGATAGGTATGGTTACTGCTGGCCCCAAGATTGGTACAGTCACTGGTAGATTCAAGGCCGTCCTGCTACATTGAGCTGTGAGACCTGCTAGACTGGTACTGTCACTGCCAGATGTGACACCTCCTGTTAGACTGATGGTGCCACTGCTAGATTTGAGATCTTCTGTAACATTAGTGCTATCATTATGAGATGTGAGATCTGATGTTGGACTAGGACAGTATCTGCTAGATATGAGATCTACTGCCAGATAGGTGCAATCACTACCAGACGCAAGAACTTTTGTTAGTCAGGCACTTTCACTACTAGACACAAGAGCTTGTATCCGAAAGGTACTGTTATTGCTAGACTTGAGACCTCCTGTAATATTGTTGCTGCCACAGCTAGATGCAAAATCTACTGTTAGAGTAGTACTATCCCTGGTAGATGTGAGATCTCCTGTTGGAATGAAAGTGACACTGCTATTTGTGAGACTGCTAGTTAGTCTGGTACTATGACTCCAAGATCTCCTGCTAGTTGGGTACCGTCACTGATCAGTTTGGGATCTCCTGTTAGTCTAGTGCTGCTGTTGCTAGACACAAGACCTTCTGATAGACTGGTGCTGTCACTGTTAGATCCTGCCCCTGCAGGAAACACGGAAATAAAAGAAAAATACTTAATAAATCCAAGTTACTTTTTTAATTCATTGGGAAATGCTCTGATTGGTAACTTTCAGCTTCTGATCATATCCCTCTATTCCCAGCACTGACATATTTCCCTTTGCAGGCGGAAAATTCAACCTCAAATTTTAAACATTTCCAAATTTCAAAATAACCATTCTCATTCTTGCCCATTGTACAGTATTGGTGAAATGAACATAAACCATTTCCATTTATCTTTTATTAATTGCCTGAAATATAATCAACCCTGTGCTAAATTCCCCCTGAGACAGAAGCACACGTTCAAAGTCAGATTACTTTTCAGTCTGGGTTTTGTTCAGATGGTGTTCCTTGAATGAATGATTTCAATGGGCTGTGGGAGACGGGCGATAATTGACCACTTCCAGCTTCACTTTATTGAGTTCCTGATCTGTGCCTGAGCTCTCCAGATAATTAACCATAATCTTAGCAGGTGTTGGCTACACCAAAGCCAGCAGCTGCAGAACTCCCTGCTGATCACTGTTGTGCATCAATTTATTAGGAATGTGGTGCACGTAGAAAATTAATGATATTGAGTGTTGTGATTTGAAACAAGGTGAGAGTATTTTGATTATCTATTCCACTCCCCATCCAATAATAAAATAAATGAATAATTTTAAGCAAACCTGTGGTGAAAGACATAACTAAGGCATCAGTAACATTATTTAGCTTAACAAAATTATATTTGTTTAATATATTAATATTGGAATTAATCAAATAATTGCATTTTGCCCACAAAATTTGCAGTCAATTCACTGTACAGTATATTCTGTGAAGCATTTTAAGACATCTCAACAATGTGATAAGGCACTATATTAAATGCAAGGATTAGTATTATTAGAAACAAGATTTAGGAGATTGTGTCATGGGTCTTGGTTTCAATACAGTGAGAGTGCAGCAAGGAGAAAGATTGTACAGAGTGACTGACCCTAAGGTTTAGGGAACAAGTAATTTATTTATAAATTTGCATTTATATAGCGCTGTTCATGTGGGCTGGCATCTCAGAGCATTTAAACAATGAGCATATTAGTGTTAAAACAGAGAGAGTGTTTAAAGGTGGAGGGCATAAATAAGAGCAAGCATTTTTTGTTATCTAACCAAGAGTGCAAAAACATCTGGAACAGTCTCTTCAGATATGATACCCAGATTGAAGTCTTTGACAAACTTGGCTGTGTGTGGAAATAATTGCTATTGAATAGAAAGAGAAAAGGAAGCTTCTGGGAACATGCTTTAGTAAAGGAGAGGATGTGAGATTTCTATTTGAGATCAGATTGGCTGCTGAGATAAGAACATCGGTAACCAAAAAAGGATTGAGTGGAACTGTTGAACCTTAATGGTGTTTAGCAGTTGTTTAGACAAAAGACATGAAGAAACTCTGCCTTTGAGGAATAGAAAGCAACAAATTGAGCATTGCTCAGTCAAAAGGAGATGATAGTTTAGAAAGAACTTCAATAAATGTTGAGTTTAATCAATGGTAAAAAGTGGATGGGCTTGGATGGTGAATTGAGAACATCAGGTGAACATTTCAAAGCACTATTTTGCTAATTACTGTTTTGTTAGACATTATTTCCAAAGATAAATGTGGCAGTCAGTTTGAAAACAGCAAGGTCCACAAAGAGACATGAAATGAATAATCAATTTATCTAGAGACAACTTTTGGCCAGAACACTGGGAGAAACTCCCTTCTTTTTTCAAATTGTGTCATGGGATCTTAAACATCTACCTGAGCCAGGCTGACACCTGGGTTAGTGTGTTGGTGTCAGCTCATGCAGACCTATTTACACATTGGGTTAAAAACTCACTCCTATCTGGTGTTATATAACTCATTCCTCATCATTAGCCCCTGTACATTGTTAATCTATTCCTAGGTAATGGGGG